CACACACACACAACCCTCTATAGCACAGACAACATAGTTTGTTGCGTATCCTACCTAGCTATCATCGGAATCCTCTGGCCAACAACCCTTTCAGGATATTGCGACGTTACAAAATCTACCTAGCTTTATCCGCTCTTTCAAGTTCTCGTTGCCAACCTGTGGCCAGCAGGATCACCGAGAATGAAGCGGCGCGCGATAAGAGAGCAGATGACACAGAAGGGGCGGCCGGGGGGGGGCGGAGGCAGAAGAGGTACAGAAAAAGGACAACGAGAGAGAATAAAGACGAGGACCACAACGCGTTTAAGGGGCGTAGGACGATGGCGAGGAAGAGAGGGGAAAGCAGATTAAGAGAGCGGGTAGGACGAAGAGGAGGAGGAAGAGAAGAGGAGGGGGAAGAGAGGAGTGGGAAGAGGAGGAGGAGGAGAAGGAGGAGGAGGAGGAGAAAAAAGAGAAGAGGGGTGGGAAGGCGACGAGGAAGAGAAGAGGAGTGGGAAGAGGAGGAGGAGGAGGAAGGGGACAAAACGAGGAAGGCGAAAGCAACTCAGGGCACACTCACACGGTCACTTCCTGGGATGTTTCTTACCGCACTCCCGCTTAAATTCGGACAAGACCAAAAAACAAAAAAAACAAAAAAAAATCGGACAAGATTAGGGGATCGATGAGGAGGACGGCAACCAGATTAGATCGATGGGGATCGATAAAGATAATGGGCCTTGCTCCACTACTCACCAAGTGTGCAAAATGAGAATGAATCCTCCGCTAGAACATGGGAAGATGCACCGCCAATTCATTGTTTTTGTCTTTTGTGCATGTGGAGAGTAGTGGAGCGAGGCCCAATGGGCATGGATCCGCCGCTTTTGGGGGGGATCCATATGAATTGGGGAGGCGAATGAAAAAAAAAAAAAAAAAGAGGGGGCAAGACAACAGAGAGGAGATGTATCCAGAGCTGAGGAGGAACACACTACCAACTCTCCTCCTCTTCCCCTTCTCCTCTTCCTCTCCTCCTCCTCATCCTCCTCCTCGTCTTCTCATCCTCCTGTCATGGAATCGTCATCATCTCCGCCCCCCGCGCCCCCTCCTCATTTTTTTTTATTTTTTATTTTTTTTTTAGACAGAATGAAGAATGAGCCCCCCTCCTCTTGTAGTTGCAATCCAAATCGTTCTATTTTTTTTTCATTAACAAAAACGGCAGTCGATCTTCGCAAAAAAAAAAAAAAAAAAAAAAAAATCCTTTGTCGTCAATATTCTGTGTAATATAATATAATATAATATGCCATGACTATCACCGCTTTTTTCCTCTTTGTGCCGTTATCATTCTTCTCCTGTGGCTTCTCGCGTCTATCTCAAGTTTCTTTAAAAAGGAGGGGGAAAAGTAGTGGGGGAAGGAGCGAAGGTGGGGGGGGAAAGAGGAGGAGGGGGGGGGAGAGAAGGTGATCCATTTCTCTCCCTCCTTGATCCTTCTACGCCACCCTGTTATCGAGAAATGGTCCATTTTTTAGAATTAAAAAAAAAAAAAATCGTTGGCAAGGAGATACGTCTGAATCGAGAAATGGTCCATTTTTAAGAATTGAAAGAAAAAACAAAAAATTCAGAGCATACTCACACTGGGACTTCCCTATATGTACCGTAGTTCCACCATGATCTGGATGTACCTGGCCGAAATTATGTCCAGAAATTAGTCCAAAAGTCGTAGTGTGAATGCATACTAACACGAGCACTTTCCTAAATGCATCTGACTGCAACTACTGCCAGACCGAGACGCACCTGACCGTACTCACGTCCGGATCTCAGTCGAAGACGTCCCAGGGTGAGTATGCTCTCAGCAGTGGTTGAAGGAAGAGAGAGAATGAGAGAGCTCCCGACGATAGCCTTAGGAGGTAGATATGCTTGTGGAGGTCCCCTGTATATTAAAAAAGAACAGAAAAAAAAGAAAAGAAGAGAAATGGTAGATAGGTATGAGCGAGAGGTGATTGAGAGTATAGAACATAGCTTATACCTTAGCTTTGTCCTCGAGAGCAAAAAAAAGAGAGAACGGACGACGAGGAGGAAAACAGGTGAGGATGGGTGGTAGGGTACGGAGAGAGCGCGGAGGGGGGAAGAGGAGGAAGGGAAGGGGGGGGCGGAAGCGGGGAAGGAAAGGAAAAGCACAACCTTATCCCCACCTAGAGGATGGCTACCGGTAGCGGCTTTGCTGTGGTGAGACAGGGGACAAGAGAACCGACCGAAGCAAAAACAGAGAAGGTTCCTGTAGAACAGCTGGCCTACCCTACCAGCTCAATGGGCCTACCCTAACAGCTCCCCTCCCAGGGGGGATGGGCAGCAAGCCGCGGGGAGAGGGAGACAGACAAACTCGCTTCGGTCAACTCCCTTCGCAGGTGAGGGCCTGGCTGCAGTTTTACCCACATGAAGTCTGAAAAGGCTCATGGATTTCTTTGAATTGGGAGAAAATTGCATCCGTACCCCACTTAAAGATGGGAATACCCGCTATACCCAGTCCCAGCGCCGACTTGCTGTCTATGCGGAAAGCGGCCACGCCCAGGAGCCACGTTGACCCAGGTTGTTGGTACCGGCGGCCACGCCAGGAACGACGTAGACCCAGGTTGGTACCGCAAATTGCTCTTGTAACTAATTGCCAGAATGCACAAAGTATACAGTCCAGTTGATGTAGCTCAGTGGTTAGAGCACGGGTTC